TATGCAGGCAGTTAATTGTACATGCTTTAATGTAGAAAATGTTAGGCAGTACCACTGGAAGAACTGAGATTGTAATTGGTAATTCTGTGGGCCTTCAATATTTGTCAGCAAATTTGAGACTAGAACTTGTCACTTTTTCTCTCTTCTTTTTTTTTTTAGATTAATTTTAAGTTGCTCTGTTTTGATTTTAATTCTCTTGTCTCATCCTTGGAAGGAGCCAGGGCATTTCTAAGGGTTTTTTTGTTTTGTTTTGTTTTGTTGGTGCCTACTGAAAGCCCAGGTCAAGAGGTCTGTCTTAGTTGTTATCTCCTCTGAACTCCAAATCTAGCAACAGTTCAAAAAAGGTCTTAGTCTGGAAACCAGCAAGGTGAGCAGGACACCATCCACTTTTAAAAGGACTAGGGGATGTGACACTAAAGCTCAAGTACCAAAAATGGCCCAGGGAGAAAGCCACAATGTTTGACAGGCCGAGCCTGGTGAGCCTTTAAGCAGAGCAAGCAAATGTACCCACACTGGCAGGAAAGTGTGGAAACATTAATGAAAGCTAATGAAGATTGATCCTGCAGTTGGCCTGTACCTGCCAAGGACTTCTACTACAGGGCTGTTGCATTTTCCTTACAGTTCCAGGCACTCCAGCACTGATTTTTCCATCTGGTCTTAAGGGCAGTTTGGGGCTTGTATCTTTGGTATCAACAAAGCAATCAGAGACTCAAAACCAGGGTACTCAACCTGCAGGTAACTGATCTCCTTATGAGATACTGTTACTCAGGGAAGGTTATGCTTCTCTCTAGTTTTGTCTAGAAATTCCCTCCAGGAAATGGAAACTACAAATAATACATCTGTTTTCAACAAAGAGCTGTAGTTTTGAATTGATGTATCCTGAGAAAAAAAGTTTTGCTTTGAAATTACTGCTGATTTCTTTGGGAAATAATTATTAACTATGATCACAAAGAAGTAGAATATCATTCTTCTTTTTATGCCCATGAAGACTGTCACTTGAAACCAGTGCCCACTGGTGCAGGTCTTAAAAGAACTTCAGTCTCATTCTTAGCCCAGACCGGCATTATGGAAAGCTGTACTTCTGTAAACTACACAGTTCAGCCTCCCTGAAGAGTTTGCCAGCCTTTACAGATTTACCCATGACAAAGCAAAACAATTGCCAAGCCTGACTGAATTTATACAGCTAAATAAATCACTTTTCAAGTGTTTAAATATCATTGTGAGCGTGAAAAGATGAAATGTGCTGTATATCATCTCTCCAAAACCAGAAGGAGTTATATTATAAATAAACAGAGTTTGCTTGGTATTAGGGACATAGGAAATTCCATTCAAGAACAGACAAATGGCACATCTTGTCTGGTATCCTGCATCTGGCACAGGCCTGTAGCAGATGCTTAAAATATTTGGCTCTCTTGGTTCCAGTCTCCTCCGTTCCACCTACCACCAATGTTATAAATCACACAGTTTTGCTAACTTCTGGTGTGAGTCTCTTTCCTGCTCACTTGTATAACGTGGGAGTCGGAAGCACGGGCCAGATAATTACATATCTGCCCTGTGTGATAGTTATAACTGTGGCGGGTGCTGAACCTTGGCTGATCTGTGGTTCTGCCTGTTTCAGAACATATATGGTATTACTGCCTGCATTGCCTAAATATCCAAACCAAGGAGCACACAAGCAAGGACTATGCTTGGCTCCAGAAAAAAGGGGAGAAAATTCTCTTCTCTCTCTTATCTGCCCATAGCTAGCAAGCATATGCATCATTTCTAGGCTGTCATTAATTGACTGCCCTCTTACTGTAAAGGCATTGCCACCTAATTGCAATTACTGCATGATGACCAAAAATTAGATTAGTTTAGTGTCTATCCAGCAGAGTTTGCTTTTGTTCCGTCTTTATTGCAGTGGTTATCAAAATACAGTTCACCCAACAAGCATCTCACCTAACGCAGACTTCTCTCTTTAGAAGCCTTGTTCTTCTAGATGTTGTCACTGGTATACGTACACATCTGAAAAAAAAACTTGTGGAATTCATCCCTATCAGAAATATGCTTCCCAAAATTTCCCTTCATTTTCTACAGTTTTGTGCAAAACCGACATAAATTCAATGGCACAATTTGTTAAAGACCTCTAAAAACAAACAAACAAAAACAAAAAAAACAACCCAAACCTTTCAATTTGAAAAGTTTTGTGTTTTTTTTTAAATTTTGTTAATTACATTGCACCGACTTTGTGTTCACCTGTGAGAAGGGTTTTTTTTAAATTAGAATTTATGACTATGTAACTTCCAGTTGCGGTTGTTTCATGCCATCTTACAAAAGCAACAGGAAGAGAGCGGTAGCTGTAGAAATTATAGCCTCACGTCTAGGCTATACTGTTCAAAAACAGAAATTTTAAGTGTCCCTGAGTTTGAGCATATTTTCTCCACAATTGCTGAGCACTGCTGTTCTTAAGGAATATCGTAAGAATCTTTATATGTTAATAAGGGAAAATTTAATCCTGATGGTGGACCCAGACTGTTGGGTATCATTTCAGCTGTTGGCTTTCTCCAAGCTCAAAGATTATCCGATTTTGGCTCCATCCTACCAAACATAATTTTCAGTGTCAAAGGTGTAAATCTAGACCAGACCTTTGATCCAGCAACTCGAAATGTGTGCCTGTCTCAGCCACAAACCACGGACTTTGCACTGCCAATCTTCCCGAAAGAACTGAACACATTAAAGCTATCAAGCAGCAGTTTGCATCCTTTAACATGCTCCAAATCAAATATGCATTTGGAAACAGCTGGGCTCAATACTAGCAGGAGCTCCGTGACTTTCTGCACTTCTCCTGTTGTACAAGAGTCACTTCTAGAATATCCGTCTTGCTTCACTCAGGAACAGAAGTAGAGTTTTTTAAGGCAGACGAATGAGTCAGCCACTTGCTCCAAATAAATGGTAATGGTGTTCCAAGTTTCCTAGACAGCTTCAAAAACTACATAGAGAAATTCAGCTGCTTGATATATTGGGTTATGCGCCTCACATTTAAGACAACGCAAAATCATATGCTTTTTAATCCAGATAAAAGTTGCTTTACTCACAGCAGTCCAAAGCCACCTCATTTTGTCTCTGTCCTCTACTTACATGCCAGTCGCCTTGTTTGTGCTATTCTCAGGAGCAAAAGCAGCACCCTTTATAGTTAAGAAAAGCATCTAAGGCTCCCAGGCTGCCGCAAATATGCTAAATAATACTAAGAATATCAGTGATTGTGATGCATGTGTCCATTTGTATAACAAGAATGTTAATATTTTGCTTTCTGAAGATATGTAATCCTCAATTAATATAATAGTGACAAATAGGGCATGAATTAAAACTTTAAAAGTACAATAAAATAGACTATCAATTTGGATAAATAATTGTAAGGCGATATATAAAACTACAAAAATAATTTCTTTACTTCAAAATTTGCCTTAACCAGAAACATAACTCCTTCCTGCCTCAAGAAAGCTGAATACACTGACTCATGTCTTTAAGTGTCATGGTAAATTTGTTCTTTTATAATGTGCAGTAGTTTAGCTTTGAACTTTTGATTTTTGGAAAAGGCAGAGCGGAAAAATGTTTTCATGGGAGAGGAGTGCACATTCCAGAACTGTCGACTGTTATTCGTTTATGAGGGGGGAGAAAAAAAATCTGTTTAGATTTTAGGGTTTGGTTGATGCAATTTGTTGTTTTCTGCTGTTGGTTTTGTGTCACTCTACAGTGAATGATTCCAGTTTTCACCCTCATTTTTCCAGCTTTCACTTCTTCAAATCTTTGAATAGTTATTATTTATATACAAAGTAGTCCACAGAGAAAATAACTTGCAGCTTGCTGTGAATTACAGAGCTACGCACAAGCATCATGTGGGAATGCAGACAAATTTTACTCATAAAAATGAAATAAAAGAAAATGTGAGCCCTTCATGGTGTCTTTGTAACCTGAGCAACAGTTTTAAACATCATTTTCTCTGCTGCCTCCTGTTTAACTTTTGATTACATCAAAAAATATTAAAATAGAAAAATAAAACAAACTTTCTGTAGTTTATTTATTCAACTACAGTAAAAAATATTTCTCTGATGTTCTGAATATTTTGAAGATTATTAACATACATGCTTTCTTTCCTTCCTTTCCAGAAACAGAAGAAAGTGCAGACAGCCAGAGCCCTTCTCATTTGATACTCAGCACTATTATGTTCTCTTCATTGCCGGATGTCAAGTCTCAATATCAGAACAGCTTCAGTGAAGTACTCTCCTCCTAAGCTGAGGTAATTTTCTTCCTAACAACTTGTTTTTAAGCATTACGGAAGTCTTCTGTTCCCTGCCAATAAAAACTTTTCTGGGGAGAACATTTTGCTGTGAAGTATGGCATCAGTTGACCCAAAAGACTGGAACGCTGACACTTTCACTACCAGACAGGCAGATTTAAGCCCCATCTGTTATTACAAATTTAGCAGTAATGCATTATGAGCACATGGATTTCGGTTTGGAAAGCAACTGAAAGTATCCGTTCCTTTCCCTTCATAAATAGAATATTGACATGATAGATGCAACGTTCTGGATTCATGGCCTGTCAGAAGACAACTGTATAACCACTAGGGATATGTCAGAGACTACATTTTGTCATGCACTGGCATTAAGAGCTAAAGTCACTGAGGACAAAGAGAAAAGTCTAATACTGGAACAATTAACAAGTCTTTCAAAGTTTCATTTCCTTTGGAAAATTGTTGGCTTTGAAAGAATCAATCTTGTCAGAAGTTCTAAGACAAAAGGAAGAAGCTACATGAAAGTACCTGTCCTAAGCCAAATGAGGAGAAAACTCCTTCATGTCCAAAGCCAGCTGTCAGCATATTCTTTGGGGAGAGATCATCTGCTTCTCAGGCACTTGCACACTGAGATAAGGTTCTGCTTAGAGGGATGGATGTTCTTACTTCAGCTTATTTTATAAATATTATTCACTCAGCATGAAAAACTGCATTCATGAGAGCTTACCAGTCCTTGGCCAGCAGCATCACATTTCCTCCCAAGAACACAATCGTGCAGTGTGGGACTGATGTGATCAAAGTCAGCAACAGGAACATGCAGCTTTGGGCGCAGGCTAGAAGGCATCAGTTCACCACACTGTATTCCAAAAATAGGAGGTGGCTTCTGTTGAATCTTATCTAAGAATGCAAAGATGCAATTAGTTTTGGAACTAGGATACACAGCAAACATTTTCATAAAGATTTATACCCTCACACAGCTTCAGTGTTTCCCCTCCTTTCCTTGTACATCAGTAGTCAAGACACTGGCAGGATTCTCTCTGTTGCCCTGGTAGAAATGTGCATCTTTCATAATGTAAGATGCAGTTTGTAGCTTCTTTCCCTCCCTGCAGTTGAAAAACTAAGAAGTTTCTGGAAATGCACACCAATGTAGATAAATTGTGGTAAACTGAATCAGAAAAAATATATACTATTAGTTTAAATAATTAATTGTTTTAAGTAATGTTCAAGTAAATGTGATACTGTATAAATACCAGCGCAGAAAAGAAAAATAAGGGAAAAATACAGATGTAGGTGCACAGGGAGATTCTTGTTAGTATCTCTAACAAAGTTGCCTCAGGCTCCACATTTGCTTTCAAAGCAATGAAATTCTATTACAGGGCAGTAACCAACGTGGCACATAATTTTTTGAGGTCATTTAAAGCTTGCCTGTTAAGCAAACATTACTCTGAATTGTCTTCCAAGGATTCATATTTCCTGTATATTTGCAGCAGTTTTTTGTCCTATCTGTCTCCTAAACTATCATTTTGAACCACTGACAAACTGTTTGCCTAAAACCAGAACTCTCTTTTCATTGCCTTTCTGTTATTAATATTCCTTAAGTTACTTTTTAGCTTCTGCTCAAGGCTTGCTGCAATAGTTTTTTCTTTTTGTGGAAGTCCACTCTGCTTTACCATGGATCTCAATTGAACTAGAATGCACATAATGCTATGTGAACTGTAAAAGACAATAAAACTTAATTTACCCAAAATAGGTTGAATAGATAGGTTTTAAGAATAATCAAAATCATATTTTTATTAGCTAGTAGAGCCAATAAGCCATTGAAGCTCTGTATTTTTTTTCCCACATGGCACAGAACACACTAATTTCACTATCCATAGCAAATTGTAAAAGCATCCCAATAAAACAAGGTGCATTTCCATACTTTTATCAATTTTTACAACCTTCTTAGCACTCAGTAGAAAACTTGAAGGACTTTATACTAAGCAGTATTACTTAGAAGTGTTTATTGCTCATATTATTTATGCAAAATATATGCACTTGCATGCTTGCACGTATTTCTGTATGAAATCATATGTGTTTTTAGTAAAGTTTGATGCTAAATATTTTAGACCAACTTACAGTTTTTAGTAATGTGAATAGAGAGGCAAGTTATTCAACATCCAAGAATACATCAGTTTAAATGCAATAGGAAATTTCTTATAATGCCATCTGCTTGCATGTGTCTTTATAGAACTGGTATTTAGAATCAGTCTGTCACTGACAGCAGAATATAAATTTTTGTCTTTTTTGTTGTTGTTGTTGTTGCACTGGGTTTCTTTTTACTGCTGATTACAAAGGCATTATTTATCAATATAAGTGGAAGTTATATATATATATATCAATATAAGTGGCAGCCAACGTATAAACAGAGTGAATAGCCATGATTCAAGGCATTCTTTTTTTTAAGGGTTATTATTTTATTTAAGTATCCAAAGGCCACGCAGGCAAGAAATTAGTCCCGTCCTGTGAGATGGAAATATTGCTCACCTCTCTTTGTAAAACCACAGGCAATGAAATCCAAGTGATTAAGCCAAAGCTAAATGCTTTCCTCATCTCAGAAAGGTGGCACCATGCAGTTCAGCTGAGTTGTGGCTACCTGGAAAAGGGAAAAATTTGGCCACTTATGCCTGAAATGAGACATTTTAAACTTGTTCTAACCAGAGCATAGGTTCTGCTAAGCTGAATGATTTCACAATGCTGAGTTATTTCCCACGTTTCTTTGTTGCTCCAGTAAAGTAAAAAAATGCAGGAACTGCAAAGTCATATGATCTATGGAAGAGAGAATGATGTGGTTTCTAAGAAAAATATTTATTACCAAGCAAGCTGTATTGATTTATTAAATGACAGCTTCCCATCAGAGTGTTTGTTTATATGTGCTTGAAACCACAGTGGTTATATAAAGCCAGGACATTATTTGTTTAAAGGCATCCACTTGTGTTTTTCTTAATAGAAATATCAGTACATGACAATGCCAGGTTTGCAGAAGCTTATCCAGGAATAAACTCCTGAAAAATTATTTTTTTCCTAGAGCATCCACTAAGCCAGTGCAGGCACTGTGTCTCATTGCTAGTCTTCTAACATAAGATTTATAGGATGTTATAATTAACAACAGGTGGCAGGGAGCACTGTGTGCACGGCAAACAAACTGTAAAGACTAGCAGCTCAGGAGACACTTATGAATCATCAAAACTTTTCCCTGGATAAACTCAAGTAGTAATCCTGTAGGTTTTATAGCTTTCTTTTTTTTTTTTTTTCTTTTTTCTTTTTCTTTTTTTAATTCCTCACTCCCCACTCCCTTTTCCTTTTTTATGTCAGAGATTAAAGCCAACTCTTATATCCTAACACGTTTGTCTTTACGTTACTTACCTTTTCCACTTCTATGTTTACCTATCCATGAAGTCAAATGAATTACACTTCTCTATCACTGAGTACTTCTTGGAGAACTACAGACAAGTCCACACACAAAATTTTTAAATGATGCAGATTTTTTTGTGTCTCCAATTTTCCAGCTCTCTCAAACTCACATTCTGCACAAAAGAAACCATACAGAAAAATAAAAGGTTCCATTCAAGATATACACAGCCTCCACATCAGTTTCAAGAAAACCCCATTTTCAGTTTAGGACTGAAAAGAGAGGGAGGAAAACATTGAGATGTGTGTGTATGGGAACTGTTGAGTCATGGCCTGAACCACTGATTGATCACCTGAGGCAAGGACTGGGTCAGCTGTAGGAGCACAAGTGAAAGCAATTCACCTGTGTGACTGGCCAGGCTCCACCCCTCCTAGATCCCATTTAAGGGCTGACTATCACCTGGGGAGGATCTCCTTCTGGAGATTCCTCCTTTTTGGAGTTTTCCACTACATGCCTAGATCATTGGGTATGGTTGAGCATTTCTTTTTTGATTGTTTCTTTTCCACTACGATAATCTTTCCAACTATAACACCTGTGAAGTACTATCCTAACCATACTACTCTTCCAACTGTACATTTGTTGACTGCACATGTGTGAGTGGGCAAAACAAAAATATATCCTAAATTAATTATAGTCTATGCAGTTAAACAAGTGCCATTCTTTTTACATTTTTATTTCTGATGTGAAAATATAAGTGAAGGATGGTACGCTGGGAAAGGCTTTATTGACTCAATCAAAGGAGGACTCATCTCACATCTACCAACTGATCCATCTTTCAGGAGTCATTTCCAATGTACTAAACTAAGGAGAATAAAACATTCACAAAATAATCATGTGCTGTAACATAATGATTATAGGAAGGTACTTGTATTCGGCTTTTTTTTTTTTTTTAATAAGAAAAACAATATTTTGGATAATTGGCTGTATATCCTCAATGAGTAGAAAATACTTTAAACACATTAATTCGTAGGAAAATATAAATAGGAATGTTCAAACATACAGGGAAAAAAAAAAACCCAACAACAGTATTTGTACTATAGAAGGGGATTTGAGATTTTTACTGAGACATTCCACATTCTTGCCAATATAGTTCCCTCAGTTCCTCTACAAATAACTCTGATGCATGGGATTAGTTTCTACTAAAGCCTTTTTAGGGTGTTTCTTCTCTTTCCTTACCTCCTGCCTCCAACCCCCAAGTACACTTGAGTCGTTAACCTTAGAGTTCTTAGCATTACTGCATTAGAGAGTAATGACAATTATTCTTGATTTTTGCTACCAGGCTGCCAACATGAACACAGGGTGGTAAAAGCATGAGTACTTTACAGCACAGGGAACAAAAACTCTTCACGTTAACTGCAGAAGTACACGTTCATTTTTCCTGAACATATGGGACCATTTTACCCCAGGGCTTGATATTAGTTAGTACTTGGAAAAATCTAGGCAGTGACAATGCTACATAGATGTGCATTTACATACATCTACATAATGGAAAGCAATCAGTTTTAGTGAGTATGCTTTATAATTCTACAATTGGACTACATCTCTCAAATCTGCCAGCAGGTATTAAGTTGTGTGCTTATTCAGCACAGCCCAAACTGGCACCGAGGTTTTGGATAAGACATTGAGAATTGTAGTCTCGATTGATTTTTGCTGATCTGCTTTATTGCCTAGCAGTGACTGTTGTAGTGATGAAGTTATCCTGCTGGTTGCAGACTTTGCATTGGATTAAAATTCACATTGCAGTGTCCATCTATAGCTGAGACACTAGTTGCCCAAGGGATAGCTTGTTACTCTGGATAATTAATCAGAGGTGATGGGAAATTTTTCTTAATGTTCTTGATAATCTCCAGGGCATCATCCATGAGTGAAGTGTTGGCCTCACTGAAGTGGAAAGCAAATTTCATCAGTAAGGAGGGGAGGCCAAGAGTTTTCTCACAAAGCACTTAACGACCTGGTGTCATCTGGCAAAGTTTCTCTGCGCAGTCCTTTTTCCGACTTGGAGAAATAGCTCATTTCTATTACATATTTCATATGCATACATACATACCAAGACCCTTATTTTGGTAACCATAGACATTTTAAGGAAGGTTCTACACATTCTTTAGGGTAAATAGTTTGTAAAGGGTTTGAATTTATTCCAAACAGAGTCTGTCAGTTCTGTGCCCTTGAAATCACATCCTCAGTAGGAGAGTGTTTTTGCACAGACAGAAGGAAGGTAAATAAGACTGTCTAAAATGCTTAGAGATTCAAGTCTTTCACTTGAAACAGCCCAAAGACTATTGCTCTGTAGAGTGAAGCTAGCCTCAAAGATCATTTTTATTTTTTAAACAAATAAAACCTTCCTTCTTTTTATCAGATGTTCAAATTTAGAGGTTTAATAACTGGGTTACTCAAAATAATCACTTTTCAAAAATCACTATTTTTTTATCATTTCTTCCAGTAACATTTTTATTTTTGAGACTAGCCATAGCTTCTAGAACTTACATATGTAGAGACCAAAAGGAGGTGCTTTTCTTATTGATGTGCTTCAGTATGGCTAGATGAAAGTAGAAGAAATTTAAGAAAAACTGGAAGTATTTTCAATTCAAAAGAAGAATCCTCCCCAACCCGAACCTGTCAGACTTTTCGTTTTAAACTCTTCAGTGATTTAGACAGATGTTAAATCCCACTGAAACTGACTCAGCGATTTATTTCCTCTAGTCAGCTCTTTCAGGTGTGATTTATTAATCCTAAATCTGAGAGATGAATTAGCACTTGGCATTTTTATTAGCTATTCATTGGTTTAGCCATCCTTGCTCTAAAACCAATATTTTCCTCAGCTGAATCTATTTAAAATAGAGATATTTTAAGAAATGCAAAATAAAGACTTAAAATAATTTAATCATGGAAGTTACGATATACTGGATGGAACTATAAAGTCTCAGTTACATTTTGACTGATTTTTCATTTGTGTGTTGTAAAAACATACAAAATGTTTTCAAATGAGGAACTGCTGAACACAACCAGATCTTGATGTATAGATTTTGCCAAGCTCATAAAGAGAGCTATAAGCTTTGCATTCCTTCTTTTGACTGTCCCCTGGCTCAGTAAATTTGACTCAATTGAGAGCATACCACGTTATTGCTGAATGCTCTCATTTTGAGCACTTCATGACAGTTTCAGTGTAGCAGGAGCTAACTAAATGCTTATTTTTTTGTATTGCTCAGCAGCACCATGAGCTCTAGTACGGACACTTCAGCGGGCTTATTTCTCTTTATGACTACTTCAAGTTCTCCGTAAGAGGTTCTCAAAGGTATCAGCACTTCTATGAATATAGCAAAAGTACCTGGCTTTCTGCATTTAAGGGCAGTTGTGAAAGTCTATAATTCACTGTAATATCTCCAATCTGAAAGAGAGATATTACAGGTTGGTACTTACATAGATGTGTTTGTTAGCACTGTTTCTTTCTTCTGAATGGAAATTAGTACTGGCATCTTGCTTTTGCACTGAGCTGTTTCCTAAATTACTCAGTAAGGAAAATAAGACATTTCTGAGGTAAGATTAACACGTGATGAGATCTACATTTCAACACAGGACTTAGATACAGGATCTGTACCCATATTATTCAGGCACTGAACTTCCACTGAACAGGAGTCAGGCCACCCACAGCTTGTGTAAGTGTTAAAGGTCTTTTCACGTGCCTTAGTTTCCCATTTATCAAAACACAGTTACAGCACACCCTTCAACATCAGGGTTAGGATGGTAAACTGATTATAGTTTGTGAAGTAATGACATGCTGAAAGCTGTTTACTAGTACTCGTTGAATGCAAGGGTAGAGCTACATGATTTCTGCCATAAAGAACTTGCAATCTTACTACTTATTTGCAAGAGACATTTACATTGCCTACCTGAACTGTTTACATGTCCCATGATCCTGATCCAAAACAGCTATGAGTACTTCAGCCAGTGGAGTTGCTGTCATTGGCATGAATCTTTCATTTGAATTCTTCTAAACTGGGATAAACTAACTATCTGCTGATATTTAACCTTTAATTTGTTGACCCAAGTCCCTTATTTATGGAAATGTACACACGTGTGCCTGTACACATGAGAACACATAAAAAAATGTTTTTTTGGGGGAATAGGCACAATAAAACATCTCAAATAAAATGAAAGACAGTACTGAAACAATACAATCTATGCTGTATTTTTTCTGTAGGAATAAGGGATAGGAAAGATGAAGGCTCTTTGCAGAAATGAATTATCAGAAACCTTGTAGTGAATGGTACAACACTGAAATCATCCAGCAAAAATATCCTCTGTGCTTCTGTTCCTTTATTAAATGAATGAGAACTAAGTCAGATAAAGACCATACAGTTGTTGTATGCTTGTCTTTATATCAACTCTGCTCACACCAGCTCAGATCCGTATAGACATATTCACTTACTGACACTATTTTTGGAAAAAATATGTCATGGTGAGGGAGTGAAGGAGAAAACCAATAACATGTTGAAGACATTTAAATTCTGAAGAAGTACCAGTTAAAAGTCACTTTTCTGTGATCTTCACATTCCACAGCAATTTTGGCTCACTTAGATGTCAGCCGAATAATTTGGCTTGAACAGAAGCGACTATTTTATTCTTCTTAAATACCATACTCTGGTAATGTATTTATTTCCTCTCAATCTTACCAATATAATTCCACAACACAAACTTCATAGGGAAATTTTATGGAAGACATCACACAAGTTTACAAACGAATAAACAAGAAAGTCATATACTTCCTACTCTAACTTCTTTTGATTTTCAAAGTGATTTTTTTTTTTCCTTATTACAAGCCACTGTGCAATGCCTTGAAACACTCTACCCTTTTGAAATTAGAGATGCCCTTTGCTCTGCATTTTCTAGAAAATTAATATTTATGATGAATTATGTATTTCACTTTAAAAAAAAAAAACTAAAAAATCATGTTTAAAGGCTAGGCAACTCAGCAACTTTCCTTTATGCTGAATGTTGTAATGGGATATTGAGCAGCAGTTATTTTTAGCAAACTTACTGCTTCTTGCAAAAGATATAAATATTTCCATGAAATCAGTAAGATATCCACAAAACCAGGAAGCAAACAATTAGCCTTCCCTTCAATGAAAACATGTATCTGGTCACCATCTCTTGGGATGTTGGTTGCATGGGAGCTTCTCTAGAATGTATTTGAATTGCACTTCTTTGGACACATACTATGCTGCCATTTTCTCTAAGGTGTCAAAGTTAAGAATGGGATAAAACAAGTCAATCACACTCACTCATCAGGATAATTTGAATTCAGCTGTGCATTATAATCAGCCCATCTTCTGCTTTTGGCAGAGCTCCAACAATAGTTTTCTGGGACATGACAGAAGGACAAATGCCAAGTCTTCATAGCAGGAACCTGTTTGCATTACTTCTCTCAAACTCACTGAGGTCTTCTTGTTCGTGACTCATTGCAAACAACACAAACCCACCAATCCTCCTCTCTATTTGACATATCAGATTACTGGCAGTTCTGGTTTTCCAAACATAGGAAAACATAAACCTGTCTCGTGAGTCATAAGATAAAAAGATTTTGGTAGCTATCTACTGATGTTCAAGCCATTAGACCAATATTTTCCAAGCTTTGGTCCATGTTTTATTTTGAAATGAAAGCCATAGTTTTCACAGGATCTGAATTTGTTATATTAAATCTTCACCATTTAAGACTTGACAGAATTTGCAAACTTACCTTTAAAAAAACTATTACTTAAAGTACAGATCAGAACAAGCAATGAACAGATCTGTTCATGTAATGAATTCAGTAAGCAGAAGTAATTCAGACTCAGAAGTTCAGACTG